AGAGAGAGAGAGAGAGTGAAACCTTTTCATAGAATTACAGAATGCAGGGGGCCATGCCCCTTGTCATTCGAAGAAGCAAATGACAAGAGCTGAAAGCGCACCTGCAGCAAGAATCGAAAATCAGATTGCAGAGCAAATCAAAGTTTTGAATAAATTCGAACAGATGCAACAGGATGAAAGAATGAGCATGAACAGATTGGCAAAGCAGATGAGATTATCTTGCTAACCGATGGCATGACTTCGGACATATTGAGGGTCATTCCAAGTGTGTATGGGTGTAGGCCATAGGATGGGGTCAAACCCTTCATTTAACTTGCGCAGAGGGGACGGAGGGGAAAGTATCCTTTCATTTTCCATACTCACCATCAAGGTCATCTGACACATCTGCCCCTTCAGTGGGAGCTGTTTGCCCGTGGCCCTCCGGGCAGTCGCAATCAGTCGCAGCAGCGGGACATGCTCAGCTTCCAGAGCTGTGGGGCTGCTGAGTGCATCCTGACATCCAACAGGACACGTGGAAGAACCCTGTCACCTGGGTGAAGAGGTGGCGGCTGCTGCTGCTGAAAGGACTGTCAGGTTTGCGGGGACCGCGAGTTTGTGCATCTAGAAACTCCCGGAGTTGGCCCCTGTACAGCGACCCGACAAGCCCTCCCAAGATCTTTTGTATGCCATCTTGGGATGCGAAGTTGCCCCGTACGACGAACAGGCGTGAAAGTCGCGGGGAACGTCACCAACACGTCCAACCCCAGCGACTGTTGGCATGTCTACGTTGCGGTGACGATACCAGCCTCGGACAACGAGGACTGTCACAAGGATCACCATGACTGTAACTTGAACGCTGAACTGCTTGCGACCGGCGCCTATAGCCGAGAGGTTGCCATGGGGCCAGGGAAGGGACCCGCGATCATGGAAACCCGTCTTCTGCATCGCTACTGCCCAAAAACCGCTGTAGTAACCAACATGCCTGTGAGCGCATACCACAGATCTAAGTGGGCAACGCTCTCCCCAGAAGCACCAGCTCCGTTGGGAAAGAACGCAGCCTCTCATTTTGTAGCATCATGCCTCTTGCCGCTCCCAGATGTCCGCTGCCAAGGCAGATAACGAGAAACTGGCTGGCGCAGCGGACTCTTGTCGCTGAATTCCTTGCCGGACTGACTACTTCTCTTGCCAGGACTGGGCAAATAATTACATCCAAGCAAAAGTCCTCCTTGGAATATCCGCCCGGGAACTCCACATCCTGCTCCAGGTCAAGTGCAGTGGGAACGGTTTCCACAGTCTCCCCGCCTTATCACCAAACAAATACAGGGCGACGCTTGCCTTCTCAGTTACTTCAATACAGGGAGTCACTTCAACAGACACCAGACAAACGATGAAGCTGCGCACAGCACAGGCATCTTCGTCCTCTTGGCCTCGAGAAAGAAATTAGCAGTCTCGCTTCAATAACATTCCTGCTTTGTGGAAAGGCCTTGACAAAACGTGACTCCAAAGTTGCGAACGCAGTTGGCCTCGGGCGTTACCCGAAACGACTCGCTCGTTCCTGTGCAACTCTGCACCCTCTCGGAGGCTTCGGCTAAGGTCAGGATCATGCTTCGACTGCCATCATAGGCAGCTGCAGCTAGAATCGCCTAGAACACAGCATAGCACAGCATCTCATGCCGATAAGCATGATACGAGTACAGCACAGATCGCGTAGAGTCATAGAGCCTCTGCCACCAGAAGCCGCTGCTCCCGGTACAGCTGGCACACCTGCACAGTTTTGGACACATTGCCTCCCCAGTCTGTCAGCTTGGATCGCACCCTGGTGCACCTGACCACAGTCGATCAACGCAACCCTTCCACCTTCCATCACGAAGATGTTCCTGCCAGCACTCTGATACACAAACGACAATTGCTCACCTTTGCGTGGTCAAGCTTCGAAGTCACTTAACAAGGCCAGCATGGCCCAGGATGTGGATCTCCATGAATGAACCCAGAAGAAAAAATCATGTTGCCTCAGCTGCTTTATCCGGCTCCGGAGACGCTGCAATACCTGCTCCTACACAAGCCATGGCATGGTATCTGCTATATGCAAGCAAACCACCGTATGCTGTTGTCAGGGCCTCTAAGATTCGGCCACCCAGCACCTCTGTGGCGACAACGTACTGGGACCAAGCCAGCAGGCAAGGATGCAGAAAAGACTTCACCCCGCAGTGCATGCTGAACACGAGGCAGAAGTTTCCGTGAGGCAGGCAAGTTGCCCATGAAAGCTGCATGAGCTGAAATAGATAAAGACACAAAATGACAATCGGAAGAAGCCGACCTTCCCTGCTTTGCTGCCCAGATCAATCCCAAGCTCCTGCAAGCAAAAAAAGCTGGTTCAGACCTCGTCGGAAAATGAAACCAACCCTGCACACCTTCGCCCTCTCTTCGAGCTTTGACAGCGGCGTGCCCTTGATGAAGTCCATGACTGCCACAGTTCGGTCGATGCGTGTCATCACTACACCTCACCTTGTACAGAATTTTCCAGGTGCTGGGGGTTCAAAACATCAAACCTGAGAGTTGAAAGACGACCATGCTCACAATCGGAATGCTGCGAGGGCAAGCTCTAAAGTCAGGCTGGTGGCGAGCTGCACGAAACGCTTCCCGAAGCCGAAACCCTTGACACGATGACCTCAACGCTGATCCTAAACTTGCCGAAAGGTCGGGCATCGCGATTGGTGCGATGCATCCTCGAGACTTGCAGTGTCGAAGCTACCAAGCCATCAAGGGTAACACGATGTGAAACAAGCGAAGCAGGCCTAAGGCACGAAGCTAGGACGAAGCTAGAAAGAAGACGTAAAACAGCACTGGCTCAAAACATCGGGAGATAAAGCTCAGGAGCGACTTGGAGAAACTGCTATATACTTTTGGAAGACGTGCCTAACACCCTTCTGGTCGCCATGCCCGGTATCGGCTGTGGCACCACCTCACAACTGCTTGTTTGTGGAGAAATGCAGAGGGCCGCCTAACCCGGAAGTTCCTAGAACCAGACTATTGACATCTACTGACCCTGAGGCTGAGTTCCTGAGTTAACATGCTGTCCTTGCCCCTGCAGGGCGAACACAACTAGCACTGCAGACCATGCAGGAAGCTAGCATTTCAAAACTCATCCCAAACCATGCTTTGACATGCAATGCAGGTTCTGGGGCTTGAGGCCAATGGCGAGGCCAGCTCACGCCCAAGAGGATCGTGCCTGATGGAAGCAGCCACCTCCAGGCAAACGAGGATAATGCTGAGTTGCAGGAGGGTTTACTTTCTATCGGGACTTCTCTCCTGGTGGTGAGCGGTAGTGGAGCTCTCTCTGCCTCGCTTCCGCTGCACGCTGGCAGGAGCCCCGTGCAGACTTGGACATACTGACATATTCGTGGCGGATCGAAGCGAAGCCTTCGTTTGCCCAGCTCTGAGCTGAGTCTTCCCTCTGCCTGCAGAACCCTTGATGGATTTCTGAGTTCACCTCCTTTCCTTTCTACATGTACCTCATGGTGCGCTTTCAGTTGTTGAAGATGTCTGCTTGGAGGCACACAGGAGAAAGGACCCTTCACATTAATGCTTGCAGGGCCAGAGAGGCAGAGGCAAGAGTTCTCAATCCCTTGCCATTTTTTGTGGCAGCTCCAACATGCCCGGTCTGCCCATCTTGGGCTTCGCGAAAAATTGATGGACTACTTTCAAATCGTCAGCGCAGGTCAAGGCCCAAGGCTTCCTGGCACTTAGCGACTGGCTCACGTGCTAAACCATGCTAAACCGCGCTGCAGCATCACGCGCTGTCAAACCCGCAAGCTGGCATGCAAGTCAGGCCAAGCAAGCAAATAGTGGAGACGAAACTCATGGATGAGACGTTGCGACGAGCTCCAAGATGCATGTTGTTCAGTGCAAGCTGAGCGTCGTCGGCCATTGAGCCACGGGCACGCAGGCAGGCAGATGCCAATCGGAGCAGGATCAGGTCTTGCGAAACTTCCTGCAGGGCATTTGTCTCCCATGACACTGCGGACCCGGCCGAACACTGCTCATCAACTGTACTTGAGGAAGTGTGGTTACAGAACTTTGCAGCCAATTCTCCAACTGGCGGACACGCCATGTGCCGACATCGTTATCAGAAGCCCCCATGGCAAGAGCTGGTGACCGATCACTACCTTTGCACAAAGGTGTCTGCAGCGAAACCTACTTTTTGACTAGTGACTGGAAGTCGACAAAATCAATGACAACAGGACAGCGCTTCTGCCAAAGTCACTGCTCCGCCGTCTTCATCCATCCTCAGAGCCAGCTTTTTTTCTGATTGGCCCTGAAGTCACGGCAACTGAAACCACCAAATAAGCAATCGGCCGACACAGGCAGCACCACTACCGTCACCACCGACGACGACGCAGGCACAACTACAACCATGACTGGACAAGTCTTGATGAACTGGTTCCGACATGTTCCGACAGCATTCACTCTCCCGGCCTGACCGCTGCAGAATGCCACACTGGATGTGAAACGAAGAAGACATGCCGGGTTTTGGTGTACCGATGAAGAAAGCGTAGGTTGTGTCATTCATGGTTGAAGCATGGGAACCTCACCCCATGCCTGACTTGGCGCATGTATGCAGGATCCGACAAGCCCGTTGCAAACATTTGCAAGCAGCTGTGCATGCCCAGACTCTTTCGCAAATTCTGTGCTGGTTCCAGCGAATCTTGATGCACGTAACCCGCGAGCAAGCAGCCCCTCTCGGAGATGCACGCACTTTCACGAGAAGCTACCCATCTTCTCATGCTGCTGCTCTACCAAGAGCAGGTAAGCAAAGTGTTGATCTTGCTTGTTGGTGTTTGGCCAGCGTGCTAGATAATGCAAGCAAGGCGTCATTGGCAAAGGCTCAGAATGCGATACTTCCCGTGCCCCTGCATGGTTGCATCTGGGCTCCAGCCTTTGCGGAGCTTGTGTTCGGGGGCTGTGGTGACAACGACAGGTGGCGTTCCGAAAATGGACGTCAAGCGTTCGTTCTTTGGCAAAGGGAACCCCCTGAGTGAGACAGAATTAAAACGACCTCTGCTTAACATCATGTCACGGTCTTCTGAAAGACTTGCACTTTCACGCATGCGATGGGGGCAGACTGGGGTGTGGCAGCAGCGAGAAAGTGGGGGAAACATGCAGAAGATCAGTTCTCGCTGTGCTCACGAATGCATGCTTTCAAGCAATTGGAGGATGCAGCAGGTGATGGCGGAATCGAATGCGACTGCTCACGGTTGCACAAATATGTCATGACGCAACTTCAGATCGTGTGCGTACATATGAGCGTGTACGGCGAAAGCACCCTAAGTGGCTCCAAACTTCGACATTCAAAGAGCTGCTTGCCAAGAGTCTGGTCAACACGCAAGGCTTTACCTTCCCAAACGGGATGCACCCAGCAATCACCGTCCGGCCCGGCTGCTCGCTGCCAGCCCGCACCGACCTCGTCTCAGCAGTTGAACCTCTTCGCTCGCGTTCTTGAAGACTCTCTGAACCCTGGATATTTTGCCGCACAAGTTACGCGAAATCGTTGAGTAAAATCGCTGGGTGTGCCAATGACCTTGCAGCCATCTTCCATCTTCTGTTTGAAGCGATGGCACAGCTGTGCGACATGGCCTCCATTTCTATGTCGTCACCGCGCTGCGTTATTTTGCGGCTCACATAGCCTCTCAACAGCACTTGTAAGAGGACTCCATGCAACTTTCGCCGGCCTGCTCCGTAGCTTATCGCAGAAGCAGCGCAACCTGAGATGATGGCATGCAAAGTAATACAGGTGCAGACGCAAGAGGCAAAATATTCGATCGAACAAAACGGCCTGGATAAATTCAAACCTACCTGTTCCCCAAATAGTGTCAACTCTCGCTTCACAATCATCAGAGCCTACAGCTGTCAGGGCCCTGGTTGAACGATCAAGAAGACAGAGTCTAGCCAGTACCAAAAAGAAATGCAGGGCAAGTCCAAGCGGCGTTTTGCCCAACTTACCTCCAGCGACACCAGAAGTGCGTCCATGTCGCCCTCGGTCTCGAAGCAAAACCAAAGCCCAGCGAAGTCGGTCCTCTCACATTCAAGGCTGAACTGCTGTTTGCAGAAAGTGTCGAGCCTGCTCATCGCCCGACGAGAGCAGACAACGACTGGCCTTCTCGAAGACCAAACGGACTGGCCATGCTGAGACGAGTGACGCAGTGCCAGGCAAGACACAACTTTGAAAACTAGCCTGGTCTTGCAATGGCCGCAAGGGTAGCAACGAAGCCTTTAGCGTGAGCAGAGGTAGAAGGCATGAATATCTGATCTCCTGGATTGCCGAACAACTGTGAGTCGGCCTCTGGTCGGACCACCTTTTGCTTTGGACGAGGCTTCATCGAAGGAGTGGACGACTGTGGAGATTGCACCTAGCATCTTGGAATGGTCGTGGAATTGGAGACAGAACCGAACTCTGAGTTCATGAAACGCAGCCTGCACGTATCTGGGTTGTCGGCAATTGGAAGACTGTTCGATAAATCGCTGACTGACCAAGGGTCCTGCTCTTGCAGGTCTCGGCACTTTGACTCTAATAATCGAAGATGCGAATCCTCTGCGATGTCCAACTCATCTTCCGAAGAGGCCGCGGAGAACGTGCAAGCAGCTCCCATGGCGAGCGAATGGACCCGCAGGCGAAACGGGAGACACTGCCACTGAAGTACAAACAAAGTAGAAGTGCCGATGAGACGGCGGCATCGCTCATATACACGGCTCGAGCTGTTGGCAGCCAGATTTCGTGAGCATCACTACTTATTTAGATCATTACTTGAGCTTGCGAGGCCGTTTGCAATCAGCTCTCCCCGAGCAGTTGGAGCGCTGGGCAACGTCAGCATCCTGCCTTCATCGCACTTTGAGCTTCGTTCAGGAAATCTAATTCTCCATCCAAGGCTCGCTCCAGCCTCCAGGCATGCACGTGCAAGCACATCCAAGTGCGAACTGGTGCGTGAGATCGCCAGCAAGATTCAAAACAAGTTCCAGACTCACAGAACACCGGGTAGTAGTCGACCGGAAGCCTGCAGCAAACACGAGACGAGCAAGCACAAAGACATCGCGCACGAGATCAGAGGCTTTCAACCTCGCATGGAAATGCAAAACTTTGTCGCGTTACATGTTTTTTCCGGTTATGATTCTCTAGCAATGATAAGCAAACCAGGCATTCCTGCGAAAGTTGGTCATGACCCCCAAATGGCCAAAGTGCGAGGACATGCGAGGACGGTTGCAGACATATCAGGATTCTGAAACCGATGTCACGCCACAGTCAAGAACGGCTGCTGATTCTGCCAGATCGAACACTTATTGAGATGCTGCCCGTCTGCACTCCAACAAGTCGGAGCCACCTGCCAACCTTTTGCACAGACACTTTAGGGACCCCGAGCATCGTTTTGAATCACAGTTGTCACACCCGTCACCGAATATCCTCCCTCGGAACACGAGGCATGGGCATCCAGGGCCCTTTGCAAAAATAGGCCACCAAACTTGTGGACCAATCCTTGCCCGAAATTCGCAAAAAAGAGCAAGCAAGCGGAGCAAGCACCAGCAACCCTGGCAGCACCTAGCAGTGACGCAAGGCCAAGCGTCTCCTCTCGGAGCATGGGCCCATCTTGTGTGACATAATCTTCTTGTGCGGACTACCGATGAGGTTTCCAGCACTAAAAACTAGGAAAACTCTGCCAGTCACAGCCTCCCGCGCGCAGCCAGAGCAAAGACTTTGAGGTTGGCGATGTCGCCTCGCAACGTTCGTGCTTGGCTGCTTGATGAACTCTTACCGGCACCGTGACGAAGGCGAGCCTCGAAGGACAGGTTCCATGTTTGGTCTCAAGACTTTGATGGCCACCTTGGTGGCTTCGAATGGGACGATCTTCCTCTCGAGACCTCTTGCCCTACATGCTGCCTCCCTCCCGTCATTGAGAACAGCTCGGTGAACCTGCGCAGTATTAGCTCGACCTTACCATGCTCACCATTGTGGGACAGCTTTGTCTTTCTTTTTCGGATGGTAAACCTTCGCCCGACAGCATCCTTTAAACTCTTCGGTCGCGACACGAGGTGTTCGGTCGCTTTGCCATACTAGCTGTTGCAAAACACAAGAAGCACTGCCAGCACACAGATGCTGATAGCAGTACGCGTCAACACCAACGTATGCTCCAGCATGACTTGGGGACACTCGATTGGTTGACACTTGCAGCTTGCAGCTTGGATTTGTTCCGAATTCCGAAGTGTCCGAGCTCCCCCCCTGAACATTTGTCAATCGGGTTTCCCATGGCTTGCCCCTTCAGTCAAAAGGAGCGTGCCCTTCAACGGTCGAGTCCTGTACAAAAGCCCGACTGACGTTACTAAACTGGGTCTTCGAAGCCACCACGCACGAGCACAAGCTTCCCCGGTTGAAAACCTGGCGGCCTTCCCTCTTTGCGCTTCTGCTCCCCGCTTCTTTTGCAGTGCTTAAAGCGCGAGACAGGCCTCCGGGCACCAGGCACCCGTGTCATTGCGGGGCTTTCGTGGTAAAGTCGATACCGCTGAGGCACAGTGATTAGCACTGAACAAGAAAGCAGTGCCGGTTTGGACATCTGAATTCAAACATCCTATCACGACGTGTTGCTGTCTATTGAGACAGTTTTTGATAACACTTGCTGGCACTGAGCTGCTGTACTTGATAACTGCAAACATCTTGCATCTTGGTTGCTGCCTTTGCGCTCCTTCGATGAGCAGCACTGGCGCACTTATTTGCGCGCCGCCGTTGGATTGGACGCTTGGGACAACTCAGGGCAGTCCTGAAGACAAGTGAATGGGCCTGGAGCATTTCTTGCTGAAATGCTAAAGGCTGCTTTGTGTTTTGCAGTGGTGACAACTTGACTTCCAGCTGCTGGCGTAGTCCTTTGTCGTGTAGGACTTTGCTGATTGTGTGCAGGCTGGCGGGTCTTGAACCGGGAGCACAAGCTTGTCTCCACGCCCTTGGTGGGCTGGCGAGGGCTCTGGTCTTTCTTTCTGTGGAGCCTGGTTCGAAGCACCTTAGCTTCTGTGCTCAGTGACTGCTTTCTTCGCCGGAAGTCAAAGACTTGCTGATGCATGGACCGTTGAATTCGGTCATCTGTCTTTGGCATGGCGCTTGGACCGTCTGCTTGTTGGCACACGTTCGCAGTCACTGTGTGCAGCAATCGTGCATAATCGGCTACGTCAGTCATTCTGCTTGCGTGCAACACTGTTACGCGCCTACCTCCGGGTGGGTAGGTGAGACCACAGTGCAGGTAGGTAGCTGTCGATCTGCGCAGTCTTCGTGGCTAATTTCTCTTTAGCCTTAGAGCTGTGCTTTTCGAGCGCACGTGAATGAAGGCCCCCCGTTTCGTCGGCGTTAGAGGGTCGTGAAGATGCGGTGAGATGTCCTCACTTAAGCCAATGTAATACAAGTGTGAAATATTTGGAAACCTGAGGCCATAGGTCTACCACACGTGCACGCTGGAAAGAAAACTCTCCGGGAAACTCTCTCTCTTCCTCTTTTCTTTTCTTTGCTCTGGGGTATGAGCCGAGGGCAGTCCTCCCGACCGGCGCTGTTGCGCAATCCCATCCATCATTTGGACACATGGGCTCGGCTGTACTGTTGGTTTTCCCGATTTCCCGCTTAGAGGAAAAGCAGCTAGAGGAAAAACAGGCCCCCAGTTAACGGCCACGGTAAACTGTTGCCACTCATGGGCACACCCCATGTTGTGGTTTCGAGAAATTTGCCTTTCTTTTGCCAGGGCTAGGGCAAATGTCTTCTTCTTCTTCCTTCGGGTGTAAGGGGCGTCCCAAGCCCCCCGGCCCGACAGGGCCCC